TATCAAGGGCTCATGAGGGAGGAGGGAGCGGGGAGGGAGGGGAAAAATGAGGACCTGATGCAGTGGGCTTAAGTGGAGAGGATGTTTTGAGAATGATGAGGGCAATGAATGTACAAATGTGCTTTACACAGTTGATGTATGCATGGATTGTGATAAGAGTTGTATGAGGCCCTGATAAAACGATTTAAAAAAAGAACCAAGAGAAAGCTCTGCCTACCAGCGCAGCAACAACCAGACAAAAGACTTCCCAGACTGAAGAGCTTTATCCTGAGTCATTCCTTTGATGCCTGAGTTGATCCCGATCCTAAATTGTAGCCTCTGACTTCCCTAGTAAAGCCATCATCATGATACATCGGGTGGCCATCAATGACTTTGTAAACACAGCCGAGCAGACAGTGCTGTGTGGATACTGGTCTTCTCTCTCCCAGGGAAGTTTGACAAGGTTTGATGTCATGCCATGTTTACCCTTCTTCATACTGGCCATCAGTTAGAAAGAAAGAAAAAAAACCTTCACTACCATCAAATCAATCCCAACACATAGTAATCGTAAAGGACAGAGCAGAACTGCCCTTGTTTTTTTCCAAGACTGTTCATCTTTACAAGAGTAGACAGCCTCTCTTTCTCTCGAGGAATGACGGGTTCGTTTAAACTGCTGGCTTCGCGGGTGGCCGCCCACCCCTATGCCGCCAGGACTCGGTCATGGGCACAGCAGTGCCAAGTGGGTTTTAGTTTATTCCATCCATTTGCAAAGACCATTTAGAGTTGTCGATATTCCTTGGATCCCCATGATCCCAGGATCTTACCTGAAAATAGCAGAAAGACCCACACAAACCTAGTCCGTCAAGAGGGCCTGAAGCAGTGGTCTTGAGTCCTGGGTAAAACCCAGAGAACTCAAAACACAGAAAGAGCAGAGGTGGATCTGAGAGGAAACGTGCTGGACAACCAGGGAGACAGAAAGCTCTAACAGCTTTATGGGGGCCTACGTCTGTTCCTATGAAGTCCTTGAGGGTGGCCCGGGGCTCCTTCAGAATCCCACTGCTGACACCAAAGAAACGGAGTCTCTCGTGAAACGGACCTACCAGATGAGGTTTGTTCAGGCGAGGTTCAAGGATCCGGTCGTGCCAAGCCACATGTGGAATGGTATACTTGTCGAGTATCAGCAGTGACTGAATTTATGTTGGGGAAAGAAAAAAAGGGGAAAAAGAAGCAACAAAGAAGGTTAGTTTTGATTGACTTATCCAAGGCTTATACCATTTATGATCAAAGCCTGTCAGCATTTCATTGGTCAATCAGGGTGGCCTGATTTACAGGAAGGTTAGACCGACAGTTCAGTAAAGACAAGTGTTGGGGAAGTTGTCTCCTTAACCACTGATGTCATCTTTTCAACCACAGGAACCCCTTTTCAGTTCATTGAATGTAGCTCGCCTGTAAAATGGGGATGGTTATAAACAATAGATCCTTGTGAGGATGTCAGGAGAATGTAAATAAGTTAGTATGTAGAACATGCTAACTCAAGGGGGAAAGCTCCGCTGACTGCCACTCAGGCAGCCTCGCCCACACAGCCAGACCGCCAACCTTGTTTTCAGACCAGAGCACTGTCCTTCCACCTGTCTCAGCTTCAGTCCGCAGCTCCCCAAAATCAGAGAGGGGAAGGCTGTCTCGGGAATCCTAAACTGGAGATTCTCCAGTTCTATTTGAGCTGAAAGGCTTGGGGTTGGAACCCACCTCGAGTTGCCTCCGAGGATAGGCCTGGCAACCTGCTTCCCAAAGACTGGACATCAACAGAGTCACCAACCAGGGATTTCCTAGACCAGTGGTTCTCAACCTTCCTCATGCCGCGACCCTTTCATACAGTTCCTCATGTGGTGGTGACCCCCAACCATCAAATTATTTCCATTGCTACGTCACACTGTCATTTTGCTACTGTGATGATTCGTCATCACGGGATGTATTTTCATTGTTACAAATTGAACAGCATTAAAGCATCATGATGAATCACAAAAACAATATGTCGTTATCTATTGTGAACTATTTATTTCTAATGACAAACCAATGACATTTTGTCTTGAAGCGTGGTGTAGCATGGGTAAGAGTCTTCACGCCAGCACTCATATGTGGGCAAACCCTCCTGGAGACAGATAGAGGAACGGTGTCTCGGTTCCTAAGACCATCAGAAAGATGTGTTTTCTGATGGTCTTAGGGCACCCCTGTGAAAGGGTCATTTCACCCCCAAAGGGGT